ACTTGTTGTGGCTTTCGCCTACGCTCGTTGTGGCCAGCAAGGCGCCTTCGACAGCTTCGTTTTCCTTCATCAAATTCGGGCAGCAGATGGAATCTGAAGGAAGGCTAACAAGTAAGCTATTATTACAACAATTAAGTGAAGGTAAAGTGGACTGATAATAGCTAAAAGGCTTGATTCTTTATTGTTTGTCACTCCATAGGTGACATTATTATTATTATCTTTGCATCACATAGAAACTACCTGTTTTCACTAGCATCAGGACACATACTGGAAATTGCAGTCACTGATATTTCACTTTGCATAAAATATATGCAGTTTCGAGCTATAACGAATCCGGGAATTTGGAGTTATGAAGAAAGTTATATATTTCGCGGTCATAGAAATTGTGAGTTACACTTAACTATCTCTCTGTGAATTATAGAAGACCTCAACACAACCAAATTCTCCTCAATCCCCCACAAATCAACATAAAACTATTACCCAAACTTACCAACAATATACTATTCGCTGATGTTAAACATGCTTTTTTCACTCATTCAACTAACATAATTTTTATTTTATTTTTGTCACAGGAAAAACTGTAAAAATAACAGGATAAAGATAAAGAAGGGAGAAAAACAATGAATCTTTTATTGTTTTTTATTTAAAAAAAAAAGAAAGAAAAATGGAAAAAAAATCTGACCTGCTGCACTGCTGGCAAAACCTCTGTTCAAGCCCAGCAACAATTACCTTCGCAGTCTTTGAATGCATACCACAGACTTTGTGTCTTGAATAGTAAGCCTTAACATCACTCAGATCTACTTTACAGCCCTCCACCTGGCACCTCGGCGGCTGGCCACCCTGAACAAATCCACCCCTCAACCTCTTCGTCGCCGGAGGCGACGGCAGCGCCTCCGCCGCCGCCGCCGTGCCGTCCCTGGATTTGGGCTTCAACCCGGAGCCCATACGGCCCTCAAAATAGATTTTCTTGCCGAATTTCAAGCCGTTGAGGGAGTCGAGCCCAGTCCCACCATTGTTATTAAAAGCTGTGGATGATGATGAAGAACCCTTATCCATTCTTGATTTTCAGAGCCCATCCATTTGTGCTGCCTGAATCAAAAAGAAAACGACATGGGCATATTTGTTTATTTTGTGGTAGACAGATGAAAAGAGGAGCAAAAAGCGAAAAATTTTAAATAATTTGGGTCACAACTTGATAAAGATTGGATCTTTATGGTATTCTCTTGCTCAAAACAGTGCACTAACACTTAGAAAAAGCTTGAAATAGAAAAAAGGGAAAAATATAAACAAAAAAGAAGAGGCACATTGTTTATAAACACACACACAAAGAGAGATTGGTGGTGGTATAAAGTAAGCACCTGACAATGGGCCATCATATGCCAGCTTGGGGTTTGTGATTTTTCTTCTTGTGATACAGTTTTTCTGAACAAATTTTTATATCAGTCAAAATAATGGAGCACAAAGAGAGTTGTCAGCAGCTTTTACAACCTTTTTTAGCCCACTTGACTGAAACTGTACTTTTTTTTTTATATATTGATAAATAATAATATGAAGAGATACATTATGCATGCATATTTTTCTTGATTCGTGTTTAGTGTGTTGTGTTCGTAATCTAATATAAAAACTAACTGAGTATTTGTGTTCGTGTTATGTTTGAAATCGTATCGTATCGTGTCGTTTATCGTCTAATTATTCTTACTACTTGTATTTTTATTAATCGCATGTTTGTCACTGAGTTGATGTAATAACACTACAAGCTTATATAGCTCATAAATCATGAATTACAAATATATATATCAATTAAAAGTGTGGTCCATTCCATAACAAATGATACATTTATTTATTTAGTATATATCTAATTCAAAGGTCAAATTAAATAATTCATAAGTTCTGCATTATGAACAATTTTAATGAAAGATACAATAAGTAGAGCACAAAATCTAAAGCCATTCAGATCATTTTTTTTTTTTAATTTTTTCAAAATATTGAATAAAATTTATTTACACTAACTTATAAATACAATATCATCTTGCATGTTGCCAATCATATGCTACAGTCCACAGGTAATAATTAACAATTATTTTGATTAGATAATATTATATATTATGAGCAATATATATATATATAAAAAAATAAAATCATTAATTAATTTGCACTTTCTCTTCTTTCAACAAATTAATATCCAAAAATGATGTAAACCAAAAACTGTAGGCACACTGCTACTACCAAACAGATTACTAAATTTACCTATCATCTTCTTCAACATTATGTCATTTTTTTTTTTTTTAATAACACAGGTAAGATTTTGTCTGCAGAAAAGGAGTTGTACAAAAGAATACTTTCCATAAATAGCAAGAGAGATTAATAATGATTAGTTGATTACCTAATGAAGTACAATTTGGTTTCAAAACTTTCTTTTCACTTGCCATATTTGGTAGATGAACTTTTTTTTTTAGATGAATTTATCTCCACAAAAGTACACAATATAGATACAACTTACAATTCTATTGTATCATACATTACCTGATAAGAAAAGAGTCAACTATTAAAAAAGATACAAGTTCTTAATTATTAAATTATTTTAAATTATGAACAAATTTGGTGTTTAAAACAGTCTATTGAC